CAAATTTTTTAATATAAAAGCCACAAGAATGTATATTTTTATTCCTTCTTTCCACGCACCCTCAGGACATGGAACAAACTTCCGAAAGATATTGCTGAAAGCATCTCTTTAGAGACTTTTAAAACTAAGATTTCCAAGTATTTTAACGAGAAACTTTAAACTGGTAGATATTATTTCTATTGTTGTTATTTTATACTTTGTGTATTTTTAACGTTGGTGTGATGTCTAACGACTTTACCGACGTATTTTAATGTAGACGTAGATGTAGATTTAATTGTTTTACTGTTTCTGAGGAGACTGGTTTTGTTTTGAAATAAATATTTCTACATATTTTATTGTATACTTAAGGCATTCAATAACCATGACGTCTTTAATTTCTTTTTTCGTGGATACTCGAGTTAAGAATACTAGGCTCGATTTTCGCCGCTCTCACGGGGAGGACAGGGGGCTCCAGTTCCCGAACAGCGACTGGTAATCGAGCCCAGAACAATACCGGCACTGAACTGTACCCCCGCTGCCTCCGGAAATTGCTGTTATCTCTCTAATAACGTCTCAAATTACAAATCTAAGGGATGTCACGTTCTAAACACCCAAGCCGATTGCTGCGATTAAGTGATTATATCAGACAACCCAGTTATGTTGTCGAAAGGCTCACTGCTGTCTGGCGCTGTTCTTTGCGCTATATCCCTGATTCTAAGCCAAAAGAAAGCACTGAGTCATCCCCAATGCTTGGATTTTAGGGCGCCCTTTAAAGTAGCAGAACAACTTTCTTTCTGCCCGCAAAACTACTCAGAATATGGCTGTTGCACTGTAGGCCGCGATCCAGGGATTTTGAACGACTACAGAAGATTGGCGACCCGATTTTCACTGGATAACAAGCCGAAATGCGCTAACTTGGTAAAAACAGTGCTTTGTCTCGAGTGTCATCAATATGCAGCGCATATTTTTGAGGCAGAAGGCAATGAGAAGTTCGATTCGACAACTGCAGCCCCAGGATTGTGCTCTAATATCTGCAGGACTTTTTACCAAGAGTGTAATGACGTAGCGACATATTTAGTGTCAACCGGGAGATGGAAACTTCGATCTACGCCTGGAAGTTCTTTACCGTTAACCGAGAAATCGTTCTGCAACGGACTACTGCTGTCAGATGCAGACTACTGCTACCCACATGTACAGACAGTGGATCGAGAAATTCTCTCTAAAAAATACAACTTCCAATCTAACCGAAACTGTTTGTGTGTCGAGGAGGTCGCGCGCGGTTTACGCAATCCTCTGGCTGCGGTGCACGCAAATGACGAGTCTGGAAGACTTTTTATCGCCGAACAGCCAGGCCTAATACGCATCATATCACCTGAGGGAAAATTGCTCCAGCAGCCATTTTTAGACATCACTGACAGAGTATTATCATCAGGTTCGTACGGCGACGAGCGCGGATTTCTAAGCATTGTTTTCCATCCAGCGTTTAGACATACTAACAGGTTCTTTGTGTATTACTCAACTCGAATGAGTAGAAAATCTAGGAACAGGAAAAACTCCAAAGCTCCTTTTAGAGCGTTTGATCATAGAACAGTTTTGAGTGAATTTAGGGCTTCGGTTTACAATCGTAATAGAGCACTTCGAAGGTCAGAGAAAGTCATAATGGAGATCAAACAACCAGCTGATAATCACAATGGGGGTACGCTGTTTTTTGGGTCTGATGGTTTACTTTATTTGACGATTGGAGATGGGGGGCAAGCTGGAGATCCCTTTGGAAAGATTGGAAATGGTTTAAACAGGTTAGTTTGATTTTAAAACAAAACAGCGCAGCAATTTTTTTTTCCTCTCTTGATGTTCGCTTTACACTCTATTGTCACGTCTCTCAAAACACATCTCATCACAGGAAGACCAAGCCCGAAAAATAGTGCAACTACGCTCATATACTGTCTTTTGAGAGACAATATTTGCACAGGGAAAAGTGCTTCATGTAAAGAAAAAAGCATTGTCCGCAATTTAGCCATAAGTAATTAAATAATTTACCTCGCGCTAGAGGTGCGGCGTAATCCCGGGGGCTTAGCAGCCATATAGTATAGGCGATCTGTCGTCACACTGATATAATTCAACCTCATTTACGTATTTCTATATCCATGCGGGTCTCCGGGAACATTTTAATCCTGGTCTACCTCTAAATTAAGGGTGGGATACCATGTTTTCAAATGAAGGGAACATGGAGGGGGGGAGGGGAGATTTACGAGGGTCCAGTACACGTCGTCACATACCTCTTTTTAACCTTTCAGTTACATGTTGTCCATATTTTACTATGGATCGTTGACAAAGTCTTCGATTTTGTTTTTCATTCTTTAGATCGACTCTCTTGGGAAGTATCATCCGAATTGATGTAGATGCACGGCGAGATGGTTTCAAAATTCCCTGGGATAACCCGTTCATAGGAATCCGAGGGGTTCGCCCAGAGATTTACGCTTATGGAACTCGTAACATGTGGCGTTGTTCGGTGGACAGAGGAGACCGGAAGACAGCAGAAGGAAAAGGAAGAATATTCTGCGGAGATGTGGGTCAGAATAAATACGAGGAAATTGATATCATTTCAAAAGGAGGGAATTATGGATGGCGAGGTTTTGAGGGATTTGAATGCTACGACAAAAACCTTTGCAGTTCGTCTTTAGTAAGTAAGTACCAACATTGCGTGTTACTTAGCAGTTTTCCATTTCACTACTATCCCAAACTTAACATGGATCAGAAAACTTTGCGATATATCGAGTGATATGGAGAACGGCTCTACTTCAGCTGGTAACATTTTTTTCATGATATTTTCAGACGGTAGTATTCCACCTATATTCGCCTACAACCACTCTGTGGGCAAATCCATTGTTGGTGGCTATGTATATCGAGGCTGCAAAAACCCGGATCTAAGTGGCAAGTACATATTTGGAGACACTGTAACCTCGTAAGTTGTCAGGATGGAAAGATATACATTACTTTTAAAAGACTTAAGTTAGTTTACTTGATTTAAACGTTTTGGCGCTGTACATTCATGTTTGGGAATTTTAATGCTAACCAAAAATCAGTATAAATGTACCAGCATTCTTTCACAAATGCTGCAGTCTTACTGAGTCTTACTGGCTTTACTTCTTGCCATCTAATCCATGATAAGAGGTTAAGGGAAAGTAATTTGTGCTTTTTGAAGTGTCCAGAAGTATGTGTTAAATAACAACATCGTTTTCAACATCATTTATGCATTTATTCTGTGCATATAAGTAGACACAATTGGAATTTCGGAGAGTAGCAATATTTCTCCATCCAAGAATCTACTATTCCAGAAACTACTCCTTGGTCTAGTCCATCCTATAAAATTTATACGACGATTTATACACGACGCGACAGAACCGTGGTTTTATCAATTTTATAAACCGGCGCCAAATTTGATAATCGATTCGCAGATAAGGCGGTAGGATGTATATTGCAAACTAAAATCAAAATTCTAAAAAGTGACATTAAAATGAAATAATAAATCCCATATTCTATGGTTTAACATGTAATACGCACTGACATTTCTGCACAAAATATCTACGCGTATCATATGTTAAGCCATCGAATAAGGTATTGACATCAGTAAGATTTATTTTTCGTTGCTCCTCTTTTACTTACAGCCGTTTTTTCGCGCTGACGGAGGACAAGTCTACAGGGACATGGAAAGATGAGGAACTTTGCTTTGGGGATGACAAATATTGCACTGATAATCTCAGCGGAGAATTTGAGCGGTTTATTTTATCATTTGGCGAGGACGAGCATGGTAAACGTGTTACCTTTTTTTTCAGTAAAATCAGCCGAGGGTTTTTACACCAATAGTAACCTTGGTTGCTTGGCTCTTTAAAATCCTTTAATCGACTCGAAATTTATAATAATAGCTCTGGTCGCGCGACTAGATGGATAGAAAAAGTGATGTTTTCCTTGAAATATAAACTACGCACATAACATTTTCTCGTGATTTTGCATTTGTTTTTCACATTAATTGTATTTAAAGCTGTACACTCAAACTGCTGATTTCCACAAGGAAATCATAATCATCTTCCGCACAGGTAGGGCGTGGGAGGCGAGGGAAAACTATTCTAAACTAGTACTCTCTTTTCAATTTTTGAATTTTACTTCTCGTTTGCAATTACTACAAGCGAGTAGGTGTACACAGCGCCAAGATATGCTCGAACACAACCCTGGACTGAAATCTTTGTGTTTAGCTATTTGGGAGCTGTTTATCCTCAGACGCATGTATTCTAGTCGAATCAATTGTCTAACCATTTCGCAGGGTTAACCTGTAGTAAACTGACATTTCATCTTTAGTACTAACATACAGAACAACGCAATGAGGTGACTGGATGCTCCGTTTTCTTTTAAGGACTGATCCTGCAAGATTGTAACATAATTTTTTTTCCCTTCAGGCGAACTTTACTTCCTCTCGACGAGCCGTCCAAGCAGCAAAAATAAGGAAGGCAAAGTTTATCGTATAATTGATCCTGGAAGGTAAGTCTTACACCATGTCACGGTGTTTCGAAGCATTAAGCCATTTTTGTTCAATTTTTTTTCTTTTGACATTACATCCAATCATTACTACTTTTTGATTTCATGTTTCAATGTCGTACATTTCTGGTTGTAATGATATTATTCTACTAATTTTCAAAATATCTTGACGGCTGCTGTTTCACAATTTATGCAACTTCGTGTTTTTTCTACTTTGTCAGCGAACGGCGAACGACGCGAGCAAGTAAGGAGCTGCGCGTTTTTTATGGGCGCCTTTGCAACTTATACTCACATCGCCGTGCTCAGCTGTTTAAGAACATGTTTTCTTACAAAAAGCGCATGCAAAATCGAACAGAACAATTCCTGATGGCTTTATGACTAATGGTAGTTGTAGCGTTGTAAGCACAGGCAAGTCCCATCTCAGCGGGTCCGGAGTCTTAAATCCTCAAATGTGATTGTATAACCGCGTGCTCGTAACTGGTCGAGCTTTTTCCTAAACGGACCTCGTTCCAGATTTTTTTCAGCACCGGAAATGGGAATATGAAAAAAAAAAATGTTTTTTATCGTCCTTCATCGGTCCTTATGGGATAAAAAAAACTGCCTCCTTAGTCTTGAATACGTCAGCTTAGGGCTGTACTCAAGACCTCGGGCACAGTCTTTTTCCCATACGGACCTCCTGCCTGGTTAATAACATAAAGGTATTTACATTGCAGGAGAGGTGATCCGGCAGACTGCTCCAATAGTCGTCCCTCCGCATCAAGCTGCAAGGATCACCGTCGCAGCAAGCATTTCTGTGAATATTACAAATCTCGTAATAAGTGCAATGTATACAAACGTTATTTCAGGAAAAAGTGCAAGAAAACGTGCGGATTTTGTTAATATATATCATATGCAAATATTTTAAAGGCGCCTATTCCTACTCCTTTGTCTGTTCAAAAAATCCCGATAGAGGGTTTATTACTGACAAGAAGTTAGGTTGTGATTATTTTTCGCCGTTAATAAGCGATGAATTGTTCATCACAGGTTAATTGCAATTAAAGTCAAATTTTGCTTCGTATCCAAGTGATTTATTTGATGTTGACCTCCTCCCCCCCAACCCCACCCCTTAATTTACCTTAGGATTCTTCCATAACTAGTGGTGAGTTACCAATCAAATTCTCACTAATCAATGACGTCAGGACTAGTAATAAACCCTTTACAGACCTTTAGCCGGCTCGTGTTGCTAAGGGCTGCATGCTTTCCTGCGGGCAATGAGCGTGTTCATAGGCTAACGTTTATCATAATCCTCAGTCAGTTACAGGAGTCCTCCTATATTTATCTTTGTTACCACAAGAATCATTATGAGCACTGTCATCGTTATCATCATCATCACCACCATCGTCATAATCATCATAATCATCATCATCATCATTATTATTATTATTATTATTATTATTATTATTACTAGTTACTCTTTTTTCAGATCAGAAATCTCATCAAATTCGTAAACAACTTGAATCAACTCCAGCTTGTTTGTTTGTTTCATTGTTTTGGGATATGAAATCGAGTCCCTTGCGCCAGGGGCGCAGGTGCTCCTGGGATATTTGATTCTCAAGATGTCGGAGGAGAGAGTAGTGGCAGAGTCATCCCAAGGGATTTCTTCCCATAATCATGTAGATTTCATGAAACCACCAAAACTAAGTTTCAAACTTCATAAATTAAGTGAGCTCCCTGACGCGTTCACACCATGGGAGAGTGTCGAACTTCCTATAGACGTACTGCTTGTTACCGCAAAAGATTGCGAATTTTTGAGTTGCTTCAGCTATCTCAGAAACCCACATCAGAGTCACTACCGGGGTCTCGGGATTGTGCACTTTGGAGAAATGGTTGATGTTAAACACAAATTGAATGTTTGCTTGATACGATGCTCTGAAGGTGCAGCAGCTCCCGGCGCAGCCCTGAGCAAGGTTAACACTGCCGTCATAATATTGCAACCCAAAGCTGTTTTTTGCGTCGGGTTTTGCGGCGGTCTGTCCTACGAGAAAGTCAAGTTAGGAGATGTCGTGATCTCAGCAAAAATAATCACGTACGCGCATAAAAAAGTCATGAATGATCGAGAGCAACCTCGTGGTTATGAGGCTCCTGTTAGCCGTGATATAGCTGACCTCATCAAACACGCTGCCAGTGGATGGAAGCCCCCAATAATGAAGAAACCGGAAGTAGATTGGGAGCCGGTTGTACATTGCGATGGTGTTATTTTGAGCGGCCCTGAGCTTGTGAATTGCGAGTGGCGACGAGAAGAACTCCTTGAAAGATACCCTAAAGCGATCGCAATCGAAATGGAGGGTGAAGGTAAGAATTAACGTACTTTTCTGCATAACAAAGACACTAAATGCCTAAAGTTAAAGATATAAAGTTAGAAACCTCACTAACTAACACTAGAAAAGTTTTTACCGCTCATGTCGGGGTGGGGGAGTCAAACGCTTGTTAGCGTTATATCAGTTTTTAACCAAGTCTTGAAAACCAAGCGTAAAATAATCGAAACAGCTTATATCCCAAAAATTAAATGTGAGTCACATTGGCAAACCTTTAAGGACACCTGGTAAAGTTTACGTGCTGGGCATGGGATGAATGAGTGAAAAGTTGTGTCGATCTGGTCATCATTTTGCCAAATACATATGTTTGATTATATTTCAAGGGCGAGGTTCAAGTTTTTCTTTTAAAGAAAATTCAACCAATTTAATTGGGTGCAACAACAAATTGGGACAGAAGGCTGCATTCACACATCAAATTTTATTTGGCAAACCTCAGAGGCTTAAAGCACTTGCAAAAATTAAAATACTTTTCAACTTAAGATATGTAATTATCAAAATATGGAAAACAAACTACCAACCTAAAGAATGCTCTATACTAAATCACACAGTATTTATTAAATATTTTGATTGTTAAGGGGTAATTCTTGAGCAGTAAATATAATTTAGTAATTTTATTCAAAAATCCTCATTTGTCTCAATATTGATGATGGGGAAATTCTTAGAGTAGAATAAATATATATGTTCAAAATATCATTCACTTACATTTCATTTCCATAGTTATTTATGCAAATTAATTAGAACTCAGTAAATTGTTAAAAGTTGAAGAAATATTTTTAATTCTGTGGACAGGTATTTTTGCTGCAGCTCATGATCTTAAGATGGAGTGGGTTGTTATAAAAGGCGTGTCAGATTATGCTGATGGCAACAAGTCAAAAACTGAAGAGTGGCAACCAGTTGCAAGTGTCATGGCAGCGTCTGTTGTGGCCAACATGTTAAAATTTCCTGGTGTACTCAAAGACTGGGAGCATTACAGGGGATTGAAACACCCACCATCAGGTAATTAGTGAAAACTAAATAAAGTGGGCTCTGCGTGAGGCTCTTGAATGAATAACAGACAGTTAGATAATTCATGAAAACAGTCAGGTCCAGACAGGCCCAATAATCAATGTTATGTTAGATTAAATGAGTGATGTTAATCCTATATACAGCTTAAGTACTGATTATTATGATAGGTTTTTAAAAGCAATGAAAAAAAAGTGTCCATGTCATTCCAGATTACTTGTTGTAATTAAATGCACTGGTTTGGAACAAACCAGAGCCATGTTGCAGTCAGGGAATAAGGTTAAGCTTATTATTATGGGCTGTTGGCTAATAAATAAGGAGGGCCTACGAATCAGAGAAAAATTACATCTATTATTCTTCTTCAACACTCTGAAAACAAAGCAGTTAGAAGTCCCCATGTACTAGTTCCAATCCTTGGAGGCATGGTATGTGTGGGGCTTAAGTGACTACACACCACAGTGAGTATAACTAGTTATGCAAATGTAAACAATGATATCTTGCAGGTTCTAGTTCAGCTTTAGGAAAGGCAGTTCTAGCTGGCGCTGTGATGGTGCTTCTCATTGCAATCATGTACTTCTTCTTTACAAGTCCTCAAGCGAACATAAAGGATTTCAGAATACCAAAGGATGACGTGATAGACACCAACCCAAAAGGTTATTTTGCCTTGTAATACTTTTGGCTTGCTAGTGAATGAAAGCTTATTGATACAAGAGGTTGAATGAATGCTAAGTTTTCTCTCAAGATCAAATTAAGGAGTTTTGGAGAGGAGCCCCTCTTATGCACCAACTCTCCTTCAAATGATATTTAATTTGAATTTTTAATAATTATTTTTATTGGGGGGGGAGGGAGGGGGCAGGTTTTTACATGCTGTGGGTCTGAGAAAAAGGGAGGCTGCCCTAGCTTAATTAAGTATCAGTTAATTTTAAGCCATACTGAAAAACTCTTATCATATTTAAGGCTACAGACTCTATAGTCTTTAGTCTGCAGTTTACTCTCAGTCTGTATTTACCTTCAGTCTGCAGTCTGTTTTATACTGACAAGGGTAGGAAGTTAGAAATATCTTGCTCACAAGGTCCCTTTTAAAACACTTCTCTGCATCCACCACAGCTCACATGTTGCCATTTTTCAATCAATGTTTCATCTGTGTCATATAAAGTGATGATCAAGAAAAGTTATACAACTATTTTTTAGGCACGCCACCTGAGGATCCACTAACTACATTGCTGCAGTCCATCACTGGGGGACCCCCTGGTCAGGTTCGTAACTAAAGTAAAAAATTGAACAATATTAAGTTATTACTTTAATGATCCATCAATATGCCTTTTGTGAAGAACTCACTCTCAGTCGAGTAAAGTTCATTTATTTTTTATGAGAATATATATATATGTATTTTTATTTCTCAAACACAAACAAAAACACTGTGTTATCTAAATCAGTGAATGTCAAAAAGGGTTACTGTATAAGTTTTTAGACAAAGGCAGACATGATAAAGTGCAGGGGCATTCAATATGGTTTAAGCTTATGCAAACTTGACAACATCACCAGCTCTGACTTGTGTCAGTCTGGTGTCATTTAGTTTATAATTGTAATTTAACCCATATCTCACAACTAAGAATTTGGGGCAAAACGGAAACCAATTGTATCTTAATCTTTTCAGTCTCCCTTTTTAACCCTTCCCCACCCCACATCCTCACCTACAAAAATAGTCGTAGCAGTAATTAACCCTGTGATTAACATCTAACTTCTCCTTACAATATCACCCCTGAATCACACTCTGAGGTCCCAAGAATGAAGGAAATGATCACCAACTAAAGAAGCTCTTGATTGTTAAACAAATTCTCCTTGTCAGCATCTTAAGAACTGTATAGAGAACAGTATGGAGAATATGCATATTGATGTCAGGGGGCAAAGGTTAACCCCTGACCCCAAGAGTGTTTAGCATCTAATTTCTCCTTACATTTCACTCATGAGTCACATTGAGGTCTCATGAACAAAGTAATATGATCTCCACTCAAAAAAGCTCTTGATTGTTCAACAAATTCTCCTTGTCAGCACTTTAGGAAATGTGTGTAGATCAGTATGGAGAGTATACACACTGATGTAATAGACAGGTAAGCGTTAAGTGGCCACTTTTAATTAATTGGATACAGGAGATTATGGTCAAAAAACAAAAAGTGAGATTCTGCTGTAACATTTCTTTTAGGAAAATTAGCACGTAATCCAAGAAAATATATGAGAAGTGTTTTACATACTGCTTCTTTGTACAGTATCAATACATGTACACTTACTATGCTGCAGAAAAATGATGGTGCACAAACCTTACCCGGGCAAACAGCGTGTTACACTTCCATGCGACTGAATTAACGCTTAGCTGTGACTAACAGCTGAGGAAAGAACACTGAAAAAGATATCAGAGGTAAAGAATGATATGTGTGTCTGTCATTTAAATTTCGCAGGTGAATTACAAGGGTCGAACTATAAGCTACAGAGCACAAGGTCGAATTCACTCCCTGGATGAGCCGTGGGTTTACGATGGTACAGCTTGGGACATTCAAAGTGGAACAAAAGCGAAAGTGAAACACTATGAGCAAAGCGGAGATGCTGTTAAAGATGCTGTAGCAGAGGTCATAAAGAAACTCAAAGAACAGGGGATAATTAAAGACTGATTTTCCACCTCGTTCACCTCAGAAAGTACACCATATATAGGTGGTAAGGATGGACCGATATCGCTTACCGATACCAAATATTCGATACCAATGATACCGAGGTCGGATCGAAAATTATCGATGCCAGCGAAGAGTATCGATTATTTCGATACTGCTCGTGACCTACCCACGCTTTAATCTCCCGCGACTAACCGCTGATAAGTAGCCGAAGGGCTCGAGATGGTGCACGTGCGCATTTGTGTGCAATGTAGGATTGCCCCCAGTGCAGTACAACTTTTCAGTGTGAAATAGGACCCGATTTTATAAACTGTAAATGTAACGTCACTCACTACCATGGCATCAAAATCGCAACTCACAACAATGTGCGCATTACAAGATCTGGAGTAACAATAATGAGTTGCAAACTACTATGACTGATTACTAAAGAAAAACCTCGAGCAAGAAAAGCATTAATTAGTTCTAAAGTATGGCACCTCTGCGAGTGGTCCTGTATACCAGGGAGTCTCTGATGTATCGAGTATTGAAGCGCAGGATCCATAATGAGTCAGGCACCCATGTTCAGTTATTATCAGTGACGCGAGCAGTGACTGATAACCTTTCATCGTACGCCTTATGATCATAAATGCTAGTGAAAGATGCAGATTGCTTAATATACTAAGTAGTAGGATTGTACCACTGCGGTGTTCTTCATTTCCTCGAGAAAATTAAAAATGAGTAACAGTAAATTGAAATTTTTTTTACTTGTTTGACTGTCTTGCTGATGCTATTATAAAGAACTGAACAGAAAACCGTGCGAGAGAGCCTTAATTTAGTCAATCAGATCACGTGACTTACTATGTATTTCAATGACCTCACAGTATCGGTATCGATATCGAAGAAAAATTAAATATCGTACTCGGTATCGTATCGATTCGAAAAAGACGTATCGGCCCATCCTTAATAGGTAGTAGACTAAGAGACCTGGTTACCCTCGTAACTTCAAAGTGTTTGCATTGCAGATTTCTCAAATGATATACTGTATTTCTTGTCAGTAAACTTGTCTCCCGGTCCCTTGTAGTCGGCAGTTTTATGTGCGCAATAAAACAAAGAGCGCCGGATCCGCAGAAACGAGCAGGAAAGTCGCGAGAGGTTTATTAAACGGAAAAATTGGCGGAGCTTTGTTCATTCAAAGTTTATCTGCCCGTTTCGCGCCTTTATTTTCATGGAGCGTCCGAAAAACTGTCAGCTACGCAGGATGTAGTTGTACAAGCTATGATAATGATAGATCACAAATATGGAAAACACAGAGTTGCCTGTGTTTCATGAGCAAGGCTTTGATCTCGCGCACGAAAAAAAGTAGAATTAGAGCTACGTTTATAATTCTTGGACAATTTCGGCGATGGAAACGCAGTAAGCGATAGAAGAAAGTCAAAACAAAGAAAACGGAAATGACTCTCGTGAGTTCTTTGTGTTACAAACACAATTGGCTTTCTTTCCCGGCTCTCGAAGTAAACAAGTCATTCTTAACTCTTAATAAACTGAAATATATTTGCACCGTAATAAATCGTTTATTAACCAAACTTGTTCGGTCAAGATGACTGGATATTATCCTTGTCAAGGCTGCTCACTACGATTTCGTCTGGCAACAGGAAAAAACAGTGATTGCAAAGCAAGCCTAAAACGGCAGAAATCCCCCAAAACCACAACGGACACACAAAGTGTGAGTAAGTTTTATCAATCTTACATGTAAAATGTTAATATTTCGGAATATTTAGTGTTAGTATAATTTCGGAGCTGAGCAAAGAGTTTCCAGCAATCTGATTGGTTGAGCGGTTCCTTATATGACGCTATATAAACCGCTCCGCGCGGTCTATATAAAATGTTAAACTAAAATGTTGATAAATGTTACTAAAATGTTATGATTTTAGAAATTCTTCTGTTGTTCAGCTTTGACATTATACTAAAACAATCATTCGTCTCGGGTTCGGTGAATATTGTCGAATAATCCCCTCGACTTCGTCTCGGGGATTATTCGACGATATTCACCTCGCCTTCGGCGAATAATTGTCAATTATAAATGTTTCCTTACTCGGAACTGGTCAGCTCAGATGACCACCACAAACTGTATAATATTATCCAAGCTTTAATATTATTCGATCTAAGAGAAATATATTGTAATTGGAAATCAGTAAAACACAAATTAAGTCTTAATCTCGAAGCAAAATTCAAGAAAAACATGATTGGAAACCTACTTCTGTGGCGGGTCGTAAAAACAGGTTTCTCCCTTCAGGTTAGTAGATTCGGGTAAGCGAACAGATATAAAAACCGACTTCTCTCTCTTACTGATTCTTCTGAAAAAAACTGGTTTAAAACACGACAAGCTAACACTTTTAAATCACGGTAAGGAATTAATGTCAATCACGAGTTGTGTTAATTAAAATGTATTTGTCATCAAAGGCAACGCCTATTTACTAAACGAAACAATAAATGAACCATATTTCGTTCCCCTTATTATTCCTTCTAGCGCATTCAAATTCTCAATGGTTTCTCATTTAAACTAACACTGCGTCACACAATGCGTAACGCTATTATGATATAACGCTTCGCTTTTCCTCGAGATGTGAGCTGGAACGCATGTGGTTCTTACCTATGGTCAATTGGTAGACAGACGCGTAGATGACGTCATCCTCAAAAACTAAAATAGGTTTTTCGATTTTTCTGGTATTAACTTCTAAGATAATTCTCTCGTATAACTTGTTCTATTTTGGGAGGTTTATGCAATAAATTACTTCGTGAATCGTGACTGGCTGACCTTCAATGGGTTGAACTTTGAGGGTCGAGGTGCTCATTAAACAATGAGATTTATCCCAGGTTCTTTTTGAATAATTTAAGTTTTCACGCGTGTCCTCGGATGCTCTTAAATGAGTCCCCGTCTACCCCCTCCATAACCCTTAGTGATGATGCGAAGATCGAAGTTTGCAAAGCTGGACTCAGTAATAAATTCTACTTTTAATTCTGCACAATTCTTTTCTATCTATATTTAACAACCTGCAGATATTAGTTTCCGTTTTAACTTATGGTAAGTGAAATAGATACACCATATGTAACTGCTGTCGGGTTAGGTAGGTAGTTTGGAAAATATAGAATGCCGGAATACCCGGAATACCCGGAATTCCCGGAATGACCAAAAAATAATATACCAAATAAAATAAAATAAATTACCAAATAATAAAAAATAATAAGTTTGAATAAATAATTAAAAAATTATTAATTAAAAGAGTAAAAATAAAGTGCAAAAATTAAAAAGAAAAAAAAAGAAAATCAGTTCTCTATAAGTAAAACCAAAAAAATGCAAAATTTCCTCTCGATAAATTGCAGAGACCACGTGACGTAAAAAAAACTACCTATGGCACTGTTCACGGAGATGCACATACTAGAACTACATGTAGCTTACAACCTACAATATACAAACTGATGCCGAAGATTGCTTTAAGGTAAATAAACCAGAAGTGTGATTTATTATTTATTAGACCTCAAGCACTGTGGGTTCAAGAAGCTAGAGTTTCCCTCGGCTATCGCCTCGGGCAACTCTTACGCTTCTTTCGTGCTCTCCAAACTTCCCGCGTGCTCCATAACTCGATAGTGCACGCTAAAGCATGAACCAATTGTTAATTCTCGGTCCATTGTTGTTCTTATTATAAATCAACGATCTTCCAAATTGCCTATCAAATTGTAAACCGAGAGTGTACGCTAGCAACACGCATCTCACTTATGCGGGCAGCAGTCTTGAGTATGGTCCGCTTAATTCTCCTGACCCAGACGATCTCACTACTTTGTACTGATGTGGCTTCACCTCGACTTTCCAGGCACTACCAGTCAGCGGGCATCCATTCACCCTAATTTCAATGTCGTGTCGACCAACACTCTTTGGCTTGTAGCCTACTCGATAATGACCATCTTTGCAATCTACGACTTGCACCTCCTCATTTCCGGTTTGAGAGCTAACAGTGACAGTCACTTGTTCTTGCACGTCATTGAATTGTTGTCCCCCTGAATCTCGCGTTATTACTAGGAAGTTAGCTTCGACGCCCAAATCCGCTTCTATCAAACCTTTCCCTAGAGCCGTTGATTGCGAATGATCAGAGGTCTGTTTACGCTGTTGGTATGGTTGACCTAAAAAAGAAGTTGAGAAATTGCGTAAGAATTGACTGTCAATTAGGAAGAAATTCAGCGTTCGCTGAATTTCTACACATACAGTTAATGGTGTACTTTTACTTTAGGTACTACACATACAGTTAATGGTGTACTTTTACTTTAGGTACTGCCTGATTTGTCACTTGTTGCAGGTATATCGCCATATCATTTTACCTTTAAAAGTTGCCGGTTTGAACCCGTTAGTACGTCACAGTTTCGAATCCCCACGCTTAAAACAAACCATCATCTCATTTGCATCATGTCTCACACATCTTACCTTGAGTAACTGCTTCTTTTGAAACTGTTAGGGTATCAAGTCTCTTCTTAATTTCATTCAGCTGATCTTTAATGTTGTCCTCGTCCTTTTTCCATTGACTCAGTAATTCCACGTAGTGATCTTCAACCTCAGGGTCCATGCATTCGATTCTAAGATTATCACTAGCAGCCTCATAAGTGACGCCTCCTAGTCTAACCAGAGTGTCCCGGATGTCACACCAGTAGTCATTGAACTTGATGTCATTCACAGAAGCTTTTTCAGCGTGACCGTACACAGTGTTCCTAAAATACTTAACTCGGGCAATGTCTGCTTCCTTTCTTAAGTCATTAGCGGCAGGTAATGCGTCCCAGCCGGTGAGCGGAGCAGTTAAGCCGCACAAGTCTCTTAAAAGAATTGTTAGCAAAGTGATGTCAAAGTCACGCGAAGATACTGAAGTAGGGATGGCAGGGAAAAGTTTTCTCCATTGGATTGGATTGATAACCTTCTTCGCCCTGAGGGATTTTAAGGTTGCTTCGTTTGCTGCCAAAACTGCGTGAAGACTTGTTGGTGCGTGGATGACATGTAAAGTGTTTCGAAGAGCCTGGGTTCCAACATCAACCAGCAAACGGCACAGCCTGGCATAGTTTGTCGTTTCCTTTGTGGACGAAGTAGTCGGTGCTGCATTGGCCATAGGTGAGTCCTGTTACAAAAACAATATTTTTAACGCTATAATACAGAATTCGTTTCTTTCCCTACCACAGTTTCAATGAAAGAAAATTCAATACGACACTGAAAGCGAGAGGTTTTTATTTTCTACTTCAAGATTCAAAAATAGGATTTTGTTTCCTCGATAGTTCTTACTAAAAAAGTTAGATTTTACCCTATTCTTTCTTCTCTCGCTGCCACAGTGTGAGACAATTTTAAGCGTACTCGACGCTTTTCAAGTTTTAAACTTGAAATGGAAACTTGACGCTCAACATATTCAAGAGACAGCTGCTTTCGATCACTTCTTTCTCTCGTCTTAACACGTCAAAACATTCCGAGTAAAAACTGTTCGCAACTCTTAAGCGTTGTCGTTGGGCTAATTCACAAACATACTTCAGTTGAATGCTTGTCTTGGAAATATAGTATATCTTGTATCACGATCGTGGAATTGAAGGTAAACGAGTGGTGACTGTATTTCATATAAATATTTAGATCCTGCTTTGTAAACTTCATTTCCTCAGACTTTCATCAATTCATCTACTGTTGAAAAGCGATTCAAGAGTTTATCTTTAGCGGCTTGAACCAG